TTTGTGTTGATTACATGTTGAGATGATAATATTTTAGATATCATGAGTTAAATAAAATATACTTGTTTAAAATTAATATTACCTGTTTCTTTTTAAAAATGTGGCTATTAGAGGATTTAAAATTACAAAGGCTGGGTGTGGTGGCTGACACCTGTAATCCCAGCACTTTGGGAAGCCAAGGCAGGAGCATCTCTTGAGCCCAGGAATTTGAGGCTACAGTGAGTTATGATGACGCCACTGCACTCCAGCCTAGACCACAGAGCAAGACCCTGTCTCAAAGCAAAAAAAAAAAAAAAAAATTCCATAAAAACAGTACTGTTCTAGGGCCTCCCCAATCAGGATTGTGTTTAGTAAAGAGTCCTAAAGCAATATTCCTCAGTTTGTGGTTCTTTAATGAAACTTCAAGAGTTTTTCCACTGCTAATACATATACAAGGGTGAAGGTAGGGAGTGGAAACAGGAGTCTTAGAGAATAAAAACATTTGTAAAGGAAAGAATTATTGTAAATCCCAAATTGGAAGAAAGATTTGAGTAGGTTTTCTAGAAAGGCTATTCTGATAAACATTTTGCTTTATTTCTAACTCAAAGGGAAAATTTTTAATAAAAGGGAGAGATAGAATATTTTTTAAATGCTACACACATGAAGATTTTAACAATGTACAAGGGTAAAATGTTGATGATCCTAAGAACACTATGTCGTCATCAAAGATAAATCATCAACCCAAGTGCACTGTATTTAGTATTACTTGGAAAAATGATTTAACTCTGCCCAGATGGGAAGGATTGTGCCCAATATTTCAACTGGGACTTTTGTAAAATTAAAGAATATGATTATGTCTAAAATCTACACCTTTTCACATAATATTAGAATGAAAAAGTATTACTTTGAATTAGTAGCATTGATTTCTAACAAGCTTCTGTCTCTGAAGTATGGAAAGTTTAGCCAATAATAATGGCTCATACTTACTGGGCATTTACCATGTGCCAGGTGTTGTTCAAAGCCCTTTATATGGATTAACACATTTAATCCACATAGAAACCCTGTGAGGCAGATCCACTTATTGTCCCTGTGTTACACATAAAGAACCTGAAGGTCAAAGGGATTAAGTGTGTGTCCAACACAGCTGATAAGTGACAAAGACAGAATTGGAACCCAGGCAGCTGGCTCCAGAGCTCCTGTTGTCCTGTTCACTGAGTGGTTCTGCCCCACACAGGACCCCAAGCACTGGCACTGGCTGCCCTCTTAAACTCCAGCCATGCTGAACAGAGCCATAGTAAGGGGACCACCTGGAAGAGAAGAGTTCACTTTTGAGTGAAATCTGAGACATTCTTCCCCAGGACACATTCTCTAAGAATCGCACTCTGGGGAATTCAGTTCACCAAGTTTTTTGAGACCAGGTTTTCCTAGCTGAGAATGAAGTATGGAGTAGAAAGAACCAACTCCTACAGTCCAGCCTTCACTTCCATTGTAGAATAAACTATATTTTAAACAGTGCTCCCTTGTACAGATTATCTCCTAATAATATCACCAATGACGTATTTAAGAATTGGACCATCAACAACTCCCCTAGGTTTTTATGACCTTCTATAAAAGCTCTACCTATAAATAAATAGAATCTTTACACAAATAACATTAGATCATGAAACTTA